AATTAGGCAACCGCAGTCAACACGCTGCACCGCCTCCCCACTGTCTCCTCTGCAGTCGCTCACCCGGTGGGTTGCTCGGTCGCTCACTAGGTCCAATCCTGGGTTTGGAACCCTTGCGTCTGGATTCGCGCGTCTGGATTCCGCGCCCGGGTCCGACCGAGCCCTCCTTTGTAACTCCTCACCAGACGCCGGTTTCGCCCCTTACCGGTCGGGCTGAAGAATTTGTTGTTAGCGGACTTCCGAAAAGTTCAGTTTTCCGTGTTCTGGTTGTGTTTTCTGATGCTAATATTTAGTTGTCCCTAAACTTGGTTGTGTGAGGAGGTACGGCACATCCACCTAAACCTCCATCTTGGCGGAAGTCCGGGAATAGAACTTTTAGAGCTAAAGATTTCATGTCCCCTCTTTATTACTCGGAGGTCAGCACAGATCATGTACCTAATCATGGAAGTGAGCACCTGCGCCCTGGCCAGGTTTTTCCGTCGGGAGGAGCATTGTCCCAGGTTTCTCTATCACATCGATGTTTCTCTCTCCCTCCCTCCCTCTCCTCCTTCTCACATCAAGAAATATGTATACTCAGGTGAGAATCCAAAAAATAAAAGAAATGAGTACATGTCTATTCCAAACATATACCTAGCCAAGCATTTATTGATGTGTTTAATAGATACTTATCTAACGATGGGCCAGCTAGGAACTAAAATTTAGCATTGAAGAGAGTCCCATAGACAAGCAGCCATTGTGGGAGAGACGCACAAACACACCACACAATGTAACAGGTACTATGGACCTGTTAGGCATGAGGTTCAGAGAAGAGAGTTATCCAGGGATAACTTCTAAGAGGTCATAAAACCTAATGGAAATCTTAACAAGTGAATTAGCCAGAAAAAGAAAAAGAGGACAGTTTGGGCAAAGAGGACGGGTACACAAGGCCACAGCACAGCACGCCTGGAAACTAAAAACAGTAGCAGACAGTTGAAAAGAGAGGTTGGGTGAGGCGTGTGGAGCAAGTAGACAGAAGAGACGCTGCGGACAGACATGGATCAGCTAAGAAGGGTCTTCTGTGCTACAATTATTTGAAAAGACATCCTGAAAACAGAAATATAATAAGATATACCTACGATAATGGTAGATATGAATTATTCAGAGGAAAGAGGAGCAGAACCAATTAATTTATTTTGCCCATAAATACTTTCTGCGTGGGACTTCCAGACGGTAACAGAGAACCCTGCCTGCCAAGGAAGACTCTGTGACCCCCTCTGAGAATGGCACAGGTCAGGTGCCCAAACGGCTGTGGAAGGAAATCAGAATGACAGGAAGAGCTCTGTCTTGGAGGAGCAAAAGGGACAGCTTAGCAACAAGAAAATAATGGAAGTGAAAGAGGGATGTTCTCTGAAGATGCCTTCCAGATTGATTGTCAGCCCCAAATTCAAAGAGAACAGTGGAAGCACTACCATTTTATCACAATTTTCATATGCCCTCATCTGAGTCCGTGGAGCAAAAGAGGAAATGTAGTTACAGAAGTTGAGCAGGCCGACATCCTTTGGGGCTCTGCTCTTAGAGTCATGGCTTGGCTGTGAGTTATCTGGGTAATTACTTATGCCTATGAGAGCAACTGTAGGGTACTCCTTGGAAGAGGAGTTGATGACCAGATATGGCGCTGGGACTGCCAGAAACTGGTAAAACCTTGGGTTTTTTCTCAGTGTAAGAAAATACATAAAAATAAGATGTTCCAAAGGATGCCCAATTTAGTAGTGAGTTTAGGGAAGAGTGGTAGAAAAGCCTAAGCCAGAATTACAGGATAACATCTTTTTTAAATGTTAATGTTTCAGGGTTCTTAGGATACAATCCAAAATAACCTATGCGCCCCAATGTTCAAAACAGGACAATTTACAATAGCCATGGCTGGAAGCAACCCACGTGCCCATCAGTAAATGAATGGACAAAAAACTATGGTACATTTACATGATCGGATACTGTGCAGCAGAAAAAAGAAGAGGCTCCTACCCTTTGCAACAACATGGATGGAACTGGAGACCATTGTGCTAAGTGAAATAAACCAGGCAGTGAAAGACAAATACCATATGATCTCACCTTAAAGAACCTAATCAACAAAATGAAGAAGCAAGCAAAGTATAGCCAAAGACATTGAAATTGAGAACAGGCTGACAGTGATCAGAGGGGAGAGGGGAGAGGAGAATGGGGGTAGAGGTTTACAGGAACAACTATAAAAGACACATGGACAATAACAAGGGGGACTGGAAATTGGGGAAGAGGCAGGGAGGGTTGGGGTGGTGGGGTGAGGTGGGAAGAAGATGCAGAAAACTGTACTTGAACAACAATAAAAAATAAAATAAAATGGTAATGTTTCATTGGCATTACAATAGGAGCAGTTCTGCTTTAAGATGTGCTGGGATATTGGCAGCCCAGGGCTTATGGCAAAAAAAGAGACCATCACTCAACAGAGAGCTGCTCAAAGAGTAACAGCGTAAGTGCGGGAGAACTGACCTGGCTGCTGTCGATAAAGATGGCCAGGTGTTCCATGGCCAGTGTCTACGTTCTGTGCAAGCTCAAGCATTGTTTGGACAGTTGTTGATGGCAGGAGGGCTCTTCCAATGAGAAAGACATAGTGGTGAGGGATCCCAGAGGTGGCCCAACTAGGAGGTCAGATGCAGCCGGAACCTTGACATTTGTGCTTTTGTGGCATCACATCTGCCAGTGGCTGGAGAGGTGCTCCAAGCTCCAGCTAGACAGATATTTTCCATTTCCTGAATTCGTCATGTTCTCTGACCTTTGGATCTTTCTTCATGCTGTTCCCTGTGGTCCCAGGAAATGTTAAACATAAAAGGGGGTTTATAAGTTGGACTGGAATTTAGCCATCATGACTGGGACTCCTGAATGTGGAAGAAATTAGGCATCATTGCTAGCCACACACCTGAGATTGCTAATGCACGTCCTACCTGAAAAGGTGGTCCCTAATGTGGTCTATTAATGGCTCTTATCAGTAGATCCCATCACTGGAAGCACAAGAGAAAGGCAGGAGAAAGAAGGTGAGGACTGACAAGCAAAGAGAAATTCCACAGAGACTTATGATGGTTACTTTATCTAATTAGGCTACCTTAGAATGCCAAAGAATCTGAGGGTAAAACTTATAATCAAATGGTTTGGAGATCCCCAACAATGCATAATTTGGATGCAGTCCCCAACAGGATTAAGATGATGTTTTTGTCATTCTAGCTTCACCACTTACATCTGGTTATGTAAGTGAGGTTTATGACCTTCAGTTCTCATATCTGCTAAATGCATAATGTATAGAAAGTGCCTAGTCCAGGACTTCATATGCAGTAAATGTTGGCATGGGAGCTCAGACATGGGTAAAAGAATGTCACTTGATTTGTCCTTTCCCGTCCCTACCATTACATACACATCTTCTTGAACATCAGTAGATTCTCTGAGGGTTCTATTGTTTGTTTGCTTTGTTTTTCTGAGTGAGGAAAAGACTAGTACCACTTGCCACGGGACCGAGAGCCGCGTGCCTGTGTGTGGGTGTGCCGCACACCAAATCATCAACAACTGCACACCCATGTGTGCAGTCTGACTCTGAAATTAGGAACAAGCCACTGAAGACCATATACTGCTATTTCCCAACTTTGGCTGGAAACCTCTCAAAATAATAACACTTTGTCCTTTAACTATAGTATCGGGGTCCTTAATCCTGGCTGCACATTACAATCACCTGGAGTCCTCCCCCGCCCAAAAGATTTACACCCACACCAACTAGATTAGAAATTCTTGGGAATAGGGCTTGAGCTTGGGTTTCTAAAAGTCCCAAGTGATTCTACCGTGCTAACCCACGGGCAGACAATGGACCACAGCTCTGGCATCACTTAGGAGCTTATGCAAAACACAGAATCTCAGACACAGTCTAGACTCAATCAGAATCAGAACTAAATCAGCATCTGCACTTAAAAGAGAGCTCCTAGTGATTCACAATCACATCAGAGTTTGAGAAGTACTGGTAGGTGTTGGTGATTCTCAGCTCTGGCTATACAATACAATACTCTAGAGGACTTTGGAAAAGTGCATATCTACCCCCTAAGTTTTTAGTTAGGTGGTCTGAATGGGACCTAGCATAAACGTTTTGAAAAATCACCCCTGAGCACATACACTGTGTGCCAGGGCTGAGAACCACAGCGCCAGGTCGGCTGTGCCGCAGTGATAGGCTGCGAAAAGGAGCGCCTTCAGGAGGCGCTCTGACAGGTGAGGTTTACAAAATTCCCTGGTCCCGTGGTCACCTCAGAATTGGCACGAAGAATAAATCTGGTCTGTTTACGTGGGGTGTTTCAGCAACATGTTTAAGAAATATCTGTTTCATATGTCTCTTATGAACATTTGTGTACATTTGTATTTTCTATTTTCCTTCTCGTTGTAACTAGTTTATTAACGACCAGCTCTACTTGCATAACGACAATAAACACACTGGAATAACCAAACTTGGAATATGACTCATGTTCTACTTTTACTCAGTGGTAAATAATGCTGAATATGTATATTAAAACAAACATGGAGCTATTACAGGATAGAATATACATCTTTGTAAAATTTAAAGAGAACACACAGACTTCAAAGAAAGTTTGTGTTTTTGGTGGACCCTTCGGGCGCTGCCCCCAGCCTCTTAACAGAATGGATTCATTCTGCCCTTGAGACTAGTTCAGGAGGAAAGTCCGAGGAGCACTGAGCCAATGGAATTGTCTGAAATATGACACTCTTCATTGACTCAGTTTCAAATCTGCAGCAGCTGGAGCATCCTGGCTTAGCTCAAATGCTACAAATACGGTAACATTTGTCACTTCAATCCCAGCCAAGGGTCAAATGCAGTATCACAAATAAAAGCTAAAATAAATTTCAAAAGTCATTTTTGTGGTTGACTGAACTTTATTCACATGATAGCTGTGACAGGAGCTGACAAAGACTTCCTCTACCATTTCTTTCTTCTGGCCGGATGATCTAAAGTGTGGCTGCAGACATTGTGGGTTGAAGGGATGTGTGGTGAGACAGCTTACAGGCTTTTTACAACTCTACATCATCATGAATCCAGTTTCAGCTTAACCTCATGACTTATCTAAGTTGGGGAATAAATCTAATGTTCACTGGCAAACGCTGGGCAGCCCTCGAGAGCAGCATCTTTAGAGAACACACAATTGATCCTAACACTGGAGGCACCTCAGATACTGTGTGTGCGGGTCAGAAGCGCCTCGCACTTCTGTGCGCGCTGAGAGGCATCCCATCATAGCAGTGGGATCTCAGGGCACACGGCAGGCAGCTCTGGAGCGTGGCAGTCAGTCCCAGGGGAGTGGCATGCCGCCTCACTGATAGGACCGCACAATGAGCCACATAAGGATGACCGTAATCAGGACAATGGTGAAGTTGAGACACAGCTCCCGGCCGGATCGCTCCATCCTCAGAGTGGCTCAGTGAGAACCAAAGGCAGACTTCTGAGGGCACACCAAAGACCTCCTGCTTGTCCTCACCTCCTGACAGAAAGTAACAAAGAAAACACAGAAAGGTCAGTGAGCACTCCTTCCTCAAAAGAAACAGCAACACTGTGGAAGAGGACACTGTATGGCCTGAATTAGGCGCCGTGGAAGTCCTAACCCTCAGTATCTCAGAACGTGACCACGTTTGGAGACAGGGTCTTTCAAGAGGTAATTAAGTTAAAATGAGGTCATTTAGATGGGCTCTAACCCAATATGCTCTGTATCCTTATAAGACGATCAGGACATGGACCTATACAGAGGGGAGACCTCGAGAAGACAGGGAGAAGACGGTCATCTGCAAGCCAGGGAGAGAGGCCTCGGAAGAAATCAGCTCTTCAACACCTTGGTCTCAGAGTTCTAGCCCCCAGACTACAGCTTTGGACCACAGCTGTAACTCTTCCCCGGGCTCATCCAGCCTGCACATTTTAGGCTTGCCAGGCTCCACAATCACATGAGCCAATTATAGATAGATAGGTATATAGACAGATGATAGATAGATAGATAGATGATAGATAGATAGATGATAGATAGATAGATAGATAGATAGATAGATAGATAATCACACATCCTATTTGTTCTGTTTCTCTGAAGAATCCTGACTAACACAGACAGACTGCCTTTCTACTTGATATCAGAAAGACCAATATAGTCCTGATTTTTTTTCTGTAGTGATTATATTGATACTTTTTAAAAAATATGTAGAAATCTTTTTGTAAATCATATCCAAATTACTTTTTTAAAGATTTTATTTATTTTATCTTTTTAGAGAGAGGAAAGGAGGAAGAAAGAGAGGGAGAGAAATATCAATGTGTGGTTGCCTCTTGCACGCCCACACTGGGGAACCAGCCTGCAACCCAGACATATGGCCTGACTGCGAATCCAACCAGTGACCCTTTGGTTCACAGGCCAGCATTCAATCCACTGAGCCACACCGGCCAGGGTGTGTACTGGTACTTTTGATAACATATAAAATATTACTTTTTTCTCTCTCCAATTTCAGTGTTTGTGTGTATGTGCGTGCTTGCTTTACTAACGTAGAATACCAGCCAGCATAGTCACCAAAACAGAAAAAAAAAGTTATATTTGACTATTGTTCAATTGCTTTGAATTACATACAGAAGTAGGATATCGTAGTTTTGCAGGTTTGGAGCTGCTGCAGGACTCCATCGACCCTGCTGAAAGCATGAGGTAGTTTCAACATCTGCTCGGTATTTTGTAAGCGCTGAGCTGGGCACAGAGCCTCGTGGAGTCAAACCAAAGTCCCTCACACAACAGGCACTCAGTCCAAAGAGCAAGTGTTAACCACATGGCTACTTCTATTTCATCAAGGCTTGTGCCAGCTATTTTTAGTCGGGTCTAGGATGTGCTTAGACTGTAAACACTTCAAAGAGCAGGGACGGTATCTTTAAAGTTTGTACATACAGTACACTTCGAGGCCATACTCTGGGAGCCTATGTAATGCAGTCCAACAAAATGTGCCTTCAGTGTGTGGCATAATTGACACTTTGTACATGAAGAGCAAATGAAGTTAAAGATAAAAGATAACGTTTTAGATGGAGTTTAGGACAAAGTTGCCTCTAGAGTGGAAAGTTTAGGGGAAAAGGGTGTGTTTTAATTTGCCAAGGGTGAGAGTTTGGGGGACAGAAAGGGTTCTTAGCAAGCTTGTAGGCTGAGTAGTATATTTAACCATCTAACCTGACTGAATTATTCATTGTAATTATTATACTTGATGTATTGTTATTCAATCAAATTAATAATTTGATCAAATAGTAAACCAGCTGATTGTCATTTTTCATATTATTTCATTGTTAGTGTAACATACAAGTTGAAATCAGATGGTGTCAACCAGTATGTTGTTAAATCTCGGTTTAAAATAGGGCCAGTGATGACTGACGTGCACTTCATTTTCCTTTTAATTCTTACCCATCCTGCATAAAGGATATAGTAGATTGACAATTAAAATCTTTATACAAACACTTGCCTGAAATAGAAAGTAAACAGAAGAAAATAAATGGATAAAGGAAATAGAAGGTTTAAAAATGTGCACAAGAGCAGAGGAGAACAGGAAGGTGATGAGTCCAATCAGGGAGCCTGGAGGTGTAGGCATAAGAATCATAGACTTTTCCTTATGAATTTATTAATAAAATAAAATCCTGGTCCAAACACCCCCTTATTTGGGTAAGTTCTGAAGAAATAGAGAGATATGCAAAAACTATGAGACTGTTTTTAATGATCAAAACAACTTAAGGAGAGCAAAATAACAGTCCCACCAAATCTGCTTTAGATTAAGCTCTTATATAAAGGGTATCATGGAGAATGTCCTGAGAGGAATACACTGGGAAAATGTTATTCAACATCGACCACCACTTTGGTCATGTGACCTTCACAACAACTCAGGCCAGTATTATTGTGATTTTTATCTTAGATTACAGTTGAGAAATGACAGGCTTTAGAGAGAGGTTAAATTGTGTAATGATGCATAGCAAGTTAGTGGCAGAGCTAGAATGGACAGATCAGAACTAGTTGCTAGAATTGTGATTACCCCAAGGCAGTGATTACAAGGGCGACTTATACTGAAATTAACTGCCTGGCTAAACAAAGTTCGTGTAAGTTACCAACCTCTTTGAGAAAACAATTCAACAGTTTTTATCAAGGTTGATAACGCTCATTCCCTATCAACCAGCAATTTCACCTCTGCTCTGGAAACTCGAGCGCATCTGCACCAGGATGCTTCCACAGGGTACTCAGTTCCCAGCAACCTTTCACAGCAGGGCCAAGCGAGAGACGACCAAAGTGTTTATCAACAACAGTACAGTGGATGATGAGCTGTGGTGTATTCATATAGTTGAGTGCTACTGAATTAAGAAAATATATGAACTACAACAATCCTCAACAAAATGGGTACATCTCATAAATATAATTGTTGGGCAAAAGAAAAATTTACAAAAGAAACATAGAATATGATTCCATCTATTCAAAGTCAAAAACCGGGAACTTAATTATGGTTTAGGAGTGCAGGTGTAGATGATAAAAATGTCAAGAGAAGCGTAGACAAGATTATCTCAACGATCAAGGCTGTGATTACATATGGTGGGGCCGAAGGTGGGGTGACCAGGAGAAACTTATGGGGTGTTGGCAGTGATCTGGTTCTTGATCTGGGTGATAGTTACATAGGTGTTGCCTTATAACTTCTGTCAAACTGTGTATTTTATGCACTCTTTACATATTTTCAGCAGTCTCTGAATTGAAAGGCTGTACATCACACTTCTGTATTTCCTGTGATTTACCTCATACTCTTTCTTGCACTTTGATGATGCACTTAAATATTTGTTGTTTTATATAGTTTAATGAACAAAACACAGAGTTAAGGTGAGAATTTCCATTGAATCCGAAGCAGTCAACATCTGCTCATTGTAAGGTGTGAACTTAACTTTCACACACACCTGTACCAGACAGAGTTGGTCAGAAATTCCTATCAGCAAACTTCATTTTTCTGCTTAAAGCCACAGAAACGATTTTTGGCTTTATTTTAAATTTTCCCTTGAGTCAAGATCATACCATCTGATCCAAAGTGATTGCCATATGGATGAAAGAAAAACCAAAAACACTCTGAATAAATTGTTTAATATTGACTTCTTTTGAATGGAGACTGAGCAGAGAAAAGACAAACTTTCTTCCATAATATAAAAAATTGTCCTTAAAGAGGAAGAGAGAAAATGCATATTATGAGGTGAAAAAAGTAGAACAGGAATCATTAATAGTCCCTTTATATCATAAGAAGTACTGTGTACAATAAGCATTGCCTATTTCATTAAGAAAAGTGAACATTCTCTGCCTTTCTCATTTGCGACCTGTGCACAACCCCCCACGCACACTGCTCCCTGATTTGGGTCGAGAACATACCTGCTGTGGTAGGCTTCTCCTCCTTCCCCCTCTCTTTCTCTCTCTCTTTCTCTCTTCCTCTTTCTCTCTCTCTGACTCAGGCTCCGACTCCTGTGGGTCTCCTGGGCTGTGTGGAGTCTGGGCAGGGCCTAAAGTAGCCCCTGGACTCTGGGCAGGGCCTAAAGTAGCCCCGGGGAGGTGGCAATCACTGTGATGTCACTGATGAAACATCTCAAAGGAACAACCTTCAAAGGTTTGGGGCTATTTGTGTTTAGGGGAATGTGGAATATGTTGACTAAGACCCAGTACCTTTGGCTGCCAATTTGTATTAACACCCCAGGGACTTAAAAATTTTTTCTTTTCAGTTGACTTTTACTACAATTGATGCAGGTTTTAATTTTATCTTTTAGACCTTCATGAACATCTCTAACATGTTTTTGAAACATCATAAACCAAGAGTGGGAGACTAATGTTAACAAAGGGAGATGCATTTGGCCACCCCCTGCACTCTGCCTGCAAGGGTGTAAAATGGAACTCCAGTTCACTACCCATATCTTTAGCTCTTTACAATGTGAAGAGGTCTTGCCTTGCACATACACACACACCAAAATTCAGCAGGCATCTCTAGCTCCTTCAAAACTGACTTTGGTCCAAGCAGTGAAAGTTATCTCCTCAGTCACCTGCTCCGCACACCTTTCCAGCTAAGCTGTATGTTGCAAGTTTACACATTAATATACAGTTTCATCTAAACAGCTGTGGAAGCCATGGTGTATATATCACTGTCAGTAAATTAATACAGCAGCAAACTCAAACGGCAAAACTCAGTCATTTGGAAAGATTGGAGGTAGGAGAACTGGTCAAAACCAGTGAAAAACATGTTATATAGAATACATATTGGAAAGAAATAGAATTGTGTAACTCTCAAATATAAGCACTAAGACTAGACTGTTGAGATGAATTTGTAATCAGTGTTCCAGATGTGTGGAGGTAAAGGCAGCCTCTGAAATGTTAAACTAGACTTGAAAGCACATCAATTAAGCACTGTAAACATGACCACCAAAATTGTGTTTGCTCAGCAAGCCCCTTCTTTACAGTTAATAGAGCAAATCTCCCCTCTGAATTCATAATTTGGGTCAGGCAAAATAATTCATTCCCAGAAGGCACAAACAAAATTTTCATACCTCAGAGACATTACTGAAAGACTTCCCATTCCATATCTTCATTTCAATATAATAAGTCCAATGATGGGTAATCTTAAAACAACATTCTGTTGCCACATGCCTTGTAAAAAGATAGCTTGCTGAAGTGACAAATAGTATATAGTAATCATAGCCAAATTGAACACTGGCAGTTACTTGTTGCCATCTGGCAAGCTCCTCGAATGTAGTCAGATTTCTGTCTTTTGCCTCCAAGCCCTTGCCAGATTATTTCAAATGCTAAGAATGTTTTCCTAGTCATCAAACAACACCTGTCCCTTTTTTACACTCAAAATTATTTTTGGTCCAATTAAAAATATGTATTACTGTAAAATTTTGAAAATGTGAAATTATAAAGAAAATTTAAATCACGTTTAATTTCACCAACCAAAGGGGAAAAGATTTTTATGTTACATTTTTATTCATGTTGGAAGTTGCATAGATACAATCTCAAATTCCCAAGATATCAATATTTTTGGTAAAGGAATTTAATACTTTAAAAACCCTTTCCTTTAATTCATGTAGAATCAAATCATTTATACTATACCATGTGTTGGTGCTGGGTTTATGGGACTAGCATTTGTTTTGTCCATGTAGGAATAGAAATTAGCTCTACAATAATGAAAACATTGACTATAATATGGAAATATTAACATATCACAAAACAGTTCACCAATCTGTCAATTGAGTTGAATTGGTCAAAGTCAATGTAACTTGGAGGGAAAACCTTATTGCTTATTCATGAGTCAGTTCAATTTGTCTATTTAGTTGTCCTGTTTAAGTTCATCCAACATTATACCGGGGACTATTGTGCCCAGTACACTGACAAATTCCCAGAGGGAGACTTCAGAAGCGTCTGCATTTTAGCGGTTTAGCCAGTGGTATAATCAGAGAGTGGAATTACACCAGTAATTTAGCTTGTCATTAGTTTGACAGAACCCTCTCCAGAAAACTATGCAAGCCACCCAGAGTCACGTGACAACTATTCAAAGGCCTAAGGGAGAGTAACCCTGAGGATCTACCACTCCATTAAAAAAATATTGGGGGTGGAGGGCTCAAACAAAAAGAAAAAAGGACTCAGGGATATGGGCCAGAGTGTGGTGATGGCAGGGTGGGAGAGTGGTGTGGGGGATGGATCATAATGGGAAAATATAGTAAACATAAAACAAACAAAAACAATTAAGATTAAAAATTTAAAATATCAACATTGCTGCCTCTCATTCAAGAAACTGAGAATAACAAGATTTCAAACGTCAGTGTCAAAGCAAAGTCATCCCTTTCAATTGTGCTGATTTACTTCATTGTGCTGATACTTTCTGTGAGCAATTCCCATGACTTAACAGTGTTTATTCCATATCAACTTTCTTTCAAGGTGCTGTTCTGCCCGTCATCAGGAGAACGTACTAAATAATCATTGGTATTATTTCTATGCCTATTAATCTAGATTTGGCCAAGGGCCAAAAATATTAAGAAAACAACATTTACATTGACATTGAAGATCTAATTGGCATTTATCTCATCCGCCCCCATCACCACTACATATGTTCTTAGGAATAATTCTTTGGGAACTGAAAAGTGAAGACCTCACATCAGCCCATGAATTCTACAAGTCTGTAACACAGTGGGAGAATTCAGCAAAACCTTCACGAAAGGTGGTAAACTCTTAGCACATCACAGTAATGAGTACGGTGATTGAGGTGCCTTTCTCACCTTCACATCTTCACATTCAGCTGGTCATGACGCTGCTCAGAAAGAAAGAAACAGCTTTCTGCTCTTCTTCACTATTCCAAACACGTGAATTCAAGGCCAGAGAAAGAGGAAACCCTATTTCTTGTAGTTCTCCTCTGTCTTTGAAAAGTTAATGATTATTATCGGTATCCTTAAAGACTTGTGGCACAAGTGTGATTTTTGTCTCAGTAACTGGATTTTAATTTCAAAGGGAGGGCAAATTTCTTGTATTCCTTTTGTTTCTCTAGCTGTGCATTGAACTGGCAAAGAATCATAATAGTCGCTCTAGAGTGGACACAGTAAGGGGCTTGGCTTGGGCCTCCTCCCATCACATCTCCCACTGAGATATGGATATGTCTGAGCATGCCTGGTGAACACGAGTGGGGGAAGTTGAGGTCAACATCAAACCTACTAATAAAAGGACCTAGAAGCCACCCGGAAGACAAGGCTCAGAAAGGAAGTGATCGACAAAACAAATGTGGTTTAGCAACAGGGAGAACAGATCGTCATTCCATTGCACATAACACAAATTCACTGTGTCAGCCCAGGTCCTGTGAGAAGCAGATGTTAAGATGGGACTAAATGTGCAAAAGGAAAAATGTATTATCAGGGGAAATGCCTGTGAGGAAATTACATGTAGAGAAGGGGGAAACTGAGAGAGTCATTAAACAGCAAGACAAAGAAAAAAGGATGATTGGGTAGAAACATCACAGACTGCAGTTCAGTTCTAAGGAAAGTTTGAGAAGTCTGTTAGGAAACCTCAAGTCAGAGTCAGCTGTCAGGGGTGTCCTATGTCTCCCAAGGCCTATGGATTGCTTGTAGAAAGTATAGCCTTTGTTCAGACGTGCCTACGATGTGAGAGCACAGCAGCTGGGGTCCACTTCAGTCACTATGCTGTCAGATCTAAGAGGCACACCCTTGTGGCTGCCATACCCACACACTACCTTCCAATTTGCCTACAGCTTGGAGACTGGGTTCTAGGAGAACAGAGCTATGGATAAAAAACTCCATAACTCTTTTGGCAATTAACCTCAATCAACAGGATATAATGCTGACAAGAAGAGAGAGCTCCTTCCTCTCCCTGTGCCTTGTCATGGACCTCAGCTCATCCGTGGAACCAGTGATGTAATGGCATGCTGTCGAAGTGTCACATAGCCTGGCAGAAGCAGCAATGCTGATTGAGATTTATTTGATGTTTATATTAAGCCGTGCGAACCTTAACTAGCAGCAGAGAGGAGCTTGAGCTAAAGAGCAAGAAAATGGCAGGCACTGTGTGTTCTCCAACAGTACGTGTGTGAGCACATGCGTAGCACACCCTGAAGTCTCGGGAAATAAGCAGGAAGAACACGACAGGGGCAGGCAGTTTTGCATAACAGGTGCAGCAAGAGCCAGAAAAAGTCGCATGGGTCCTTTTTACAATAACCCGTTTTAGTCCTGGATTAGTGAGGTGACACCTGTTAACATCATTTGACTTAGAACAATTTAATTCTTCTTCTCTGGAACAAGTATATTTCTGCTCTATAATAAAAGTCTGCAAGCCAATAGCTTTCCCTCAGCACATTAAACATAGCTACTGTGGGCTGGAGGCGGGAGGGGGTGGGTGGAGAAGCAGCCAAAAATATGTTTACTACTAGGCTAATGCCATCTGTTCTCAAAACACTTGGATTTCAGATTGGCTTCATTTTTTTTGATAGGAAATAAGGATTCAGCCATCCTTTGATGTGCTGTTGCCAAACCGTTCAGGGAGATTCTAGTCTGACACACCCACTTAAAACATTCTGTTCCTTACTGAATTTGATCAAGGGTATTTTCAATGGCTCTCTTTTGAACATCTGTCAGTCAGAATAACACCATTGCAGTTTTGGAAAGAATAATAGGGATCAGACAAAATTGCATATTGTTCTCTGTGGAGTTCACTTGGCTTTAGCCTTTGGCTATTAAAGCAGAGAGAACAGTGCTGTGAAGAACCATGAAAACCTATCTCTTCTCTCTGTGAAAGTAATGAGAGAACGGAAGCGCCTAGATGCAGCAATGTGGAAGATTAGCTGGATGCAAGCTGCAGGCTAGGTTTCCTTTTCGATGAGAGATGTTCTATCTCTGATGGCAACTGGACACTTGCTCTACAGCCTGGGGAGTAACCTAAGCTTTTACACTTTTACAGTAAGAGAGCATGGAGGTGCCAGG